TTTTGCGACGGATTATCCCGTCGCGACGGATTTTGATGTGAAATCACGTTTTTTTTTTGCAGAAGTTATGAGCGGTATTGTAGTTTACTACAAAGCATATTAATTTTAAGAAAATTAGTAAGAAAGGTGCAACTCGGACATCGTTCTTCGTAGATGGATAAAAAAGAAAGCACATTTATCGATAGATTGACATATAATTGTTCATATGGGATTGATATTACGTTAGAAACGCTCAAAGAAGAATAAGACATTGAGATATTTAAAGCCACTATCACTTCTTTCCTATTTAACTCCGCTTTTTTGCTGATGTAACAGCGTCGGTTGCCGCTCTTTCTTGACCTTCCTTTTCCTTCATTGCCCCTCCCGTCTCTCTTGGCTTCTCCTTCTTTTCCTCTTTGTCCGACTTCTTCTTATTCGCATTCTTTTGCTTTTCACTCTCCGTCCTCGCTTGTTCATCCTTCTTCAATTGCGCTATATCCATGCTCTACAATACTGAGTAGCGTGTTGTGCTTTAAAAGAAAAAAGATTGCTTACATAGATTGACAAATCCTTTTCTTTCTCACCAACTTTACCTACATGGATTTCAACCTTTCCTTCCACTTCCTTTTCCTTTTCCTTCTTCTTCCTTTCCACTCTGGAAAAGACATTTTTTATCAAGTTTATAAATGGATGTAGTACATGATTTAGATGCAAAGTTTTGTATTGCACAACTTACACTTTCTGAAATGGATTTTGTTCTTCACGTAAAGATTCTAGTTCTGTTTTGTTTTCTTTCTGAAAAGGGCTTATGGCAATTTTATTTATATGGTAACAATGAGGTTGAGACTTTTTCACTGCAAAATCGTGAAAATTACGATATTCCAACTTGGCACATTTTAGTGCATATAGCGTGGAAGGTAGACCTGAGTCTTTAAGTCGATATTAAGTACATGTACTTGTTGTAAAAACGGATAAGGTAAAAAAGAGGTTGTTGTTGACAGACTTGGCATCAGAGGCAATATAAAGGAGGCGGATAGACGAACAAAGCTTAAAAACAAA